AGATCATTTTTTATTTAATATAAAAAAATTATAAAGATTAATTAAAATTTGAATGATTTTTATTAGAAGTAATTATTGATTTTTATATTGAGGTACAAATCTTTTTGCACCAATTCATATTTGTAAATAAAATTTTTCATTTTATATACAAAAGCATTCAAACAAATATCATAATTGAAAATTTAAATTTTTGAATAAAAATATAATTTTTTATAAAATTTATTAGTATTTTTGTAATAATTTATTAAAGATTATTATACGTTTAGATTATTTTCAATTTAACATTTTACTATGTATTTTTTATTTTATTATTTATATATAGAATTATTTCTAATTAAGAATTACCATTCTAAAAAAAATGGATATAATCTAGAATAATAATTCAATTAATCTTTGAATTATTTTCAACAAATAATTGAATAAAGAGTAATATCTCTATCTTGATTATTTCAAAATAGAAAAAAATTTTTACAGCTTGTAAAATATTTTGAAGGATCGAAAGTTTTTGTCTGAATATAATAAATAAAATTTAAATGTATAATATAAGAAAAAGATTGCAAAACACTACTTAATAAAATAACTTATTAACTATTTTATTATTTCAATATGGAAAAATTATATAATCAGATGAATCACTTTTTTACAACAAAATATGACGAATTATCATTCTATCCCAAATCCCCGTGTATCGAGATTCAACCTTGATTCTTTGTTTCATTAACGTTTTCCAATTTTACTTGGAGTCTAATACGTTCGTCTGTAATGCTAAGTAATTTTTCCACTATTTCGATATTCTCCTCTCTAATAAGTGACTTCATATTATTGAATTTTTTTTAGGTCTTCTATCTTTTCCGTAAGGTTTTCTCTATCACAAACATCTTGCTTTTGTTTTTTTCTGTTGCGGGAAAATATTTGTTCTTGTTCTCTTTTGCTTGCGACATAGAATTCTGTCATTCTCTAGGAATTGTTCTAGTACTCTCACTTATTTTCATCGCGTACTAGCCACTTTTTATCTTCTTTTAGAGTATCGGGTGATTCGTGTTTTGCAGAGGCAAGTTTTTTTGGGAACTAGTCAATTTTTGTAAGTACGCACCATGACTATCAGAATAGAAAATTCATAGCCAAAAGAGAAAGAATATTGCGAAAAATTCCCCACCCTGGGGGAAGAGAATTCGGGGGGGGTGTCGAGATAAGTGCTTACGCGATTGAATGAGAAAATTTTGGCAGAAAAAAATACGATTGGACGGGAGAAAAGCCTCAGAAATATGATTCCTTTTCTTGATTGGGTAAGTTCTAATTTAAATCCAATTAATAGGCATATATGTGAAACTAAGATTATCAAATTAGAGTCTCCAAAAAGGAGTTAATTGATGCATTGGGATGTGCACAATTTAATTTCTAGTATTCACGAATAGACAAATATAAATTTTGTACTTCTGTAGATCAAATGATATAAAATATCAGATAATTTCTAATTTTGTTACCGGTGATAATGCTGTCAACAACAGCCTCTCTAACCGTGACTTCGGTTGCGACTCTAGCGTTAGTAATAATTTTCAATACAGTACACGATCCTCTACTAGCATCACTTGGTTTCGCGTTATTAGGATGCACGATTACACTGCACCTCATTCCCGCACTAAAAGATAGTTTTAAAAAAGCTGGAAGAGTAGGGATCGATCTTCTCAAGTTAGATCGACCGGAGATGTATGTAAGTTTCTTCTTAACTCTAAACAAAATGAATTGGAACTTTCAATTAATTACGGCTTTTTTTTTTAATTGTATAGACCTGAAAGTATGGGTGTTGTTTGCGCGACTGTATATTTAGTATGCCTGTTTTTATTTATTCCGTTTCCGTTTATGGAATGGCTTACTGGTTCGGGAGACATATTCTCTCGTAAAGAAGTTTTTCATATACCGACATTTCCACATGATAAGGTTTTATATTTTCCTTTGATTTACGGCTTGTCAATGATATGATCCATTTAACAAATAGATTTTATTAACATATTCTTTCTTTAGCTAGGTGAATTTCTTTCAGCAATACTATCCCTGCAATCGATGATATTTTTAGGATTAGCAGACGACGTGTTTGATATCAGGTGGAGATACAAATTACTATTACCAACTATTGCCTCTATTCCCTTGTTGATGGTTTACTACGTAAATTTCGGCGTGACACATATTGTTGTGCCGATTCCGTTACGATTTCTATTTGGACATATAGTCGATTTGGGTAATTGAGTAAAATGATTTATTAATCAATAGGAAAAATATTGAAATCATCTCTTCTTTATTGTTTTAGGATTTCTTTATTATTTATACATGAGTATGATGGCGGTTTTTTGTACAAATTCTATAAATATATTAGCTGGGGTAAATGGTGTCGAAGCGGGGCAATCGCTGGTGATTGGCATTTCTATAGCCATTAACGATTGGCTATTTTTGAATGCGGCCGATCCGGCAGTCGAAGCACATTTATTGTCGTTATTTCTGATTTTACCGTTTATTGGTGTGACTATTGGATTATTATTTTATAATTGGTAAATTTTTCTATCATGATGTTCTGTCTTCCTTCCCTCCCGATTAAATCTGAATGATCATATTTATTTATATATATATATAAAAAGGTACCCATCAAAAGTATTCGTCGGCGACACATACTGTTACTTTGCTGGAATGACATTCGCGGTGGTTGGGATTCTCGGACATTTTAGTAAAACAATGTTGCTGTTTTTTATTCCGCAGATTTTCAATTTTTTGTATTCAGCACCGCAATTATTCAAATTGATGGATTGTCCAAGGCATCGGATGCCAAGGTATGTAGAAAAGAATTTGGTTCGGATCCTGTGGAGATGATTTTCTTTATATTTAATGGTTTGCTCTTTATCGTGATAGATTGAACGCAAAGACTCAAAAATTAGAATACAGTCGTGCCAGAATAAAAAGTCCTTCAATACTCGGCCTATTCATACTAAAAGTATTCTCGAGTCTAAGCCTTGCAAAGGTCACTACAATACAACGTAAAGGAGAAATTCAACAACAAAATTCAGAATTTAGCAATACGGATATTAAAAATGATACTTTCACTGAGATCGATAGGTTTAGAGACGAAGACGATGATGATGATACCAATATGAATATAATAGAAGTAAACAATTTCACTATGCTAAATCTAATACTGCTGAAGTTCGGACCGATGCGCGAACGTACACTTACACTTACTGTGATGATAATACAAATCTTTGGAAGTGCTCTTGCGTTTTTTGTGAGGTATCAGTTGGTGCATTTTTTCTACGAGAAGGATGGTAGCTAGTGATGATCATGACCGTAGGTGATAAGTTTTAATCTGACAACACTAGAAAATTTTTTTTGATCAAAGG